TAACATCTGTGTTTATGTGTTTACAAATCTGGTTAATTGCATTCTATATGCATCTCAGTATCTTTTCTTTGTGATGAGACCTGCTTCATTTATTACTTTTTATGTAATGCAACTGACCTACAAAGGATTAACATAACCAAGGCTTTGAGGAAGACAGTGAAGTTGGTGAATTAAAATTAAAATGGTTCTGAATGTTCCAGACTCCTTCTATTTCAGTATCTTTTATCTCCTGCTAGGAGCCCTAAAATACACCTTTTGTTTGTGTTTCAAGCAGCAGTAATCAAAATGGGGAAAGGGACAGGCAAACTGGAATAAATAGACTGTAGAGGCAATTTTTGTTTTGATCAGATTCTGTTGTCTATGGGAAATAGAATCATTTCTCTGAGACACTCAGTTGCATTGCTCAGCAGGAGAGAAATCGTTAGGGTAATACCAGTTCCACACATGCCAGAATAACAAATGTCTGTCATTCCTCTTTTTCTTTCCAAATACACACATACATACACACACACACACACACACACACACACACACAAATAACACACACTTGCACATGTATACATATATGCACATCCGTAGTCACATAAGTATGCAACTGAATGCACACAGTCATATATTCATACCACATGTACACACATATATGCATTCATCATGATATTAAATAAATGAATAATTTCTACCAAACATACCTTTAGAGTCTTTGAAAGCAGATCTAACAAACTATGCCTCATTCTGCTTCCAGAACCTTGATTTCTGCTTTTCTTTTTCATTGCACCTCATGCTAATCTGTTCCTACATGGCAGCACAAGCCAAAGGTTCTCATACGAATGTATTGTATCCTATATAATAAAAGCCTAATATGCTAAATGTCCAGTCGACCAGTCGGCCATTCAACCAATCAAAGCATAATATGCTAATGATATACTAAGGCCACTCAACTGCTCACTATGACGTGCACTGACCACCAGGGGGCAGACACTCTGACCGGTAGGTTACCTTGCTGCTGGGGTCTGGCCGACTGGGACTGAGAGAGACAGGCCGGACATGCCCTGGAGACCTCCTACAGTCCCTCCCTGGCTGGCTGACCTCTCATGTCCCTCTCCAGCCCCAATCGTGCACCAGTGTGGCTCCTCGGCCTGGCCTGCAACCTCTCGCAATCCGGGACCGCTCGGGGGATGTCAGAGAGTTGGTTTCGGCCGGATCCCACAGGCCAGCCCGAGAGACCCCACTGGTGCACGGAATTCATGCAAGAGTAGGCCCTCCTTCCTCCGGTTTCTGGCACTAGCTTCCCTCTGGCACCCAGGACATGGGCTTCCCTCCAGCCACCAGCAGGCACCCAGGACCCGGGCTTCTCTCGCAGCCCTGGCTTCATTCAGAAGGTCATCTGGAAGGACATCCAAAAGGATGTCTGGTTTAATTAGCATACTACACTTTTATTATTATAGATTAAGTTAAAACAAAACATAGGGCAACAACTTAAATATTTACTACTGTCTGATTTGCCTTTTGGGTTGTGTTTTCTTCAACTTCTTCCTTCTTCTCTCACCCACCTCTTAAAAGTGTTCTGAGTGCTCCTTCATTTTCATTGAGCATTGTTTAATTGGCTAGCATCCTGACTTAATGTCAAGGAGGTTGCTCCATAGTAATATCTCAAGTTATTGCCATTGACTATAATGAGTTTGAAAGCAATTGCCTGGAAGAATCAGCCATTGGTACCCCTACATTCTACCATCAGAAACAACAAACCTGAGGAGAAAGTCCAGGAAGTAATGTTTAAATAGTGTTAGATCAATTAAATTTCCTTTCCTTTCCTTTTATTTCTTATGAAAATAACAATAATGTTATGTTTTAATTAGTTCTAGTAGCTTCCCAGAGAGTTAGACAAGGAGTTAGACCATTTTATAGTCATTTTAATAATGAAAAAGACAAGGCTTTTAAATACTATGAGATTTGGTAAAAGTCATTCAAAAAATTAAGTGGCCAACCAGGATATCCTCTTTTGTGATATATGTGTCTTACTTTTTTTTCTGTTGAGTTTCCTGGGTTCTCTGTTATTTCATATATTGATTTTTTAATGTATTAGTACAGAGTCTTAGTAAATGACCTATATTGTATATATATTCTTCCACTGGCTTATTTTGCATTCTCTTAATGGTGTGTTTTGATAAACTAATGATGCTGATGAATATTTCCAGATCGTCAGTCTTTCCCTAATGGTTAGTGTGTGTGTGTGTTTTGTTTTCGTTTTGAAGTTGTTCAGAGACCTTTATTCTGATCCTCATTATTCATTAAGCAACCTACAGAAAACATTTTCTTTATCTCTACTCCAAGCAGCAGCAGCTGCATCCAGGCCCAAAATGAAAGGCATAAATAGTGAAGGCCTTGTAGAGAAAAGCTAACAGGTGAGATCTCTGTTTACCCTGGTTAGGAGAAGGTAGATTAGGGAAAGTGCATAAGTATAATATTTCAAAGACTCTGTTCTAAGATGAGGCCTCTCTATGTTCTAAGAGAGGAGCTAGCTAATGGACACAAAATTGCCCAGCTCAGCAATCTGATAACTTCACTTTTTTTAAAGAGCTGGTCTATTTCAAGTTCATCCATGTCCCCAGAGTTCACCCTTCAGGAGATCCCACAAAAAACTGGAGGTACTTATCAGAGCCCCTCTTCCTTGGAGGGCCCTGACTTCCAAGTTCTGTCTGTCCCTCTTATCTTTACCCCTCCAAACCTCTTAAGGCTTCTAGAGGCTCTGTTCAACTTGGCACATGTAGAATTTCAGGCGCACTATGTTGCACCTCCTGAACTTTGTGATGCATTGATGACTCTTGGGTGCCTTGAAATAAGGTCTTATATAATACTAGAGGCCCAGCGCGCATGAAATCATGCGAGAGTAGCTCACTTCCGCTTGCCTCAGCTGGCCGCCCGCCCATAGCCCCTTGTAGCTCTCACCCCGCCCTCCACTGGTCATAGCTCTCCGATGCTAGTACCTCCGCTGCTAGGATGCCCGCCCTGCCTGCCCCAAGAGCCACTGCTCGTTTGGTCGTGACAGCGTTATGGCGTCAGGCCGCTGGCTTTTTATATATATAGATTTCCAGTGTTTCTAGCTGTTCTTGGTACAAGGGTTAGGCTACATCATAGTATTCTACCCTAGGCAGAAATTTCCTTTCTTAATGTGATTTCAATTTGCATGTCCTTCCTTATTAGCAAAGTGAATCATCTTTTCACATGACTACATGTCATTTAAAAAAAATTTAATGAACTGTTGTAAATTTTTTTCTATTGTATTCTTTATCTTTTTCATCTCTATTTTAGAGTCCTTTATGTATTAAAGATGTCTATGATAAAAGGTATAAATATTTTCCTCAATTTATAACCTTTCTTTTTTTTAAACATTGCTTATGGTATTTTTTCTACCCACAATTTATTATGTTTATATAAAGTAAAATAGTTCCATTTTTTGGTTATTAATTCTGTGCTTTCAAGCATAGTCAGCAAATATTTTCTCTTCTCAGGATTGGGGAAATCCACCAATATTTTTTTCTGTGATTATGTCTTTAAAGAATGTGTTGATGAAAAATTAAAAAATGGTCCACTTTCTAGAATTGGCAGAGTGAGAAAGGACATGATACAGTGTAAGTCCAGTTGGAAGTCCTAAGTTTTGTTTTCTCTTCCTCAGCCCCAGGAACTAATGAAAAGAACTCATGGACACAGTTTTTATGTTGTCCTTGAAGGGCTTGGGAGCCTATGAGTCTTTCCATTTCTTCCTGTGTTATCCTCCTTCTGACTTCTCTCATATCATCAGGGTTACTTCTATACTGATATCTCTAAAATACGTGCATGTCTAATTCATAATTCTCTTCCTCATCCCTGGATGCAAAAGCTGGTTTGGCATCTTCACAGAAAGGACCCAGTACTTCAGACTTCAAATCTAAAATGTCTTTCTCTACCTTCCTCAAATTTGCTTCTTTTATATGTCTTCAAATACTACATCCAGACTCAGAGATTGGTCACCTTTGAGTCATACTTCTCTATTGTCAGTAAATCATTATAAAAGTGAAAGTTCCATCTTTGAAGGTATTTTTCTCTGAAGAAATTATCAACTGTATCTTTCCCAACCTTGCTTCATTCTCACCCTCAGGCACACCAACTTGAATATACTGCAGGCTCAACAAGCACTCATGTAATAAACATGAATCTAATCTTCTGTTTAAAAAATTACAGAAATAATTAAAACTCTGAAAGTATGGATTTTCCAGAACACCACATGTGTATTTGTATTTTCAAATGCTCTGGCCTTTCAAGTTGTGAAAACAATAGATACTTAACTAAAGAAATAAGAGGATATTGACTATCTGGGAAATTTCTTACAATAAAAAACAACAACATTCCCTTATTGCTACATTTAAGCACATGATACAGCTCAGTCACAGTGAGTTGATGACAAACCTTAGAAGCTGTGCAAATAGAGAACAATCACAGCGGAAATTAAAGACTGGACTCTTGGCGATCCAAAATGGCAGCTCAGAGCAGTCTCCTAGGGCAGCAACTAAGCCATTCATTTGTGTTTAAACAAGAAACTCATTGCCAGGGGAATGAATCTTTCTTCATTCAGGCAAGCCTAAGGCAAAGTAGGTTTTCTTTTCTCTCTTCAAAGGTGAAGCTACCTAAACACACAAATATACAAATTTTCCTAAATTTAAATTGCAGGTTATTCTGATTAGACCAAGTTCCCCCGCTTTCATGCCACCAGATACCTAATTTTAAAAGTTGTGTATGTATGTACAGATGTGATTATCTCACAAATTGGAGGACTTACAAGATGGCAGCACTACAGTATTCCAACAGCTCAAACTACTATTTTCTTGTTTAACTGTTTCTACAAAAGAAGTTGAGTCCCAGGAAAATTTTTGAATTTGAGAGGGCAGGGGAGGAGGACAGAACAGTTGGCAGTCAGACCTCTACTTCTCTGTTCATCAAGGGACTGTCTCCTTTCACTCTTTCAGCTCAAGGCGAGGACACGCCTAGAGTTCCTGTGAAAAGCCAAGGCTCCTGTGACACAGAAAACTCCGCAAGTCCTGATGGTAAGGTCCTAAGCGCTGAGCCCAGGCAGTCTACAGATGCGGCACATTTCCTGTGTGTAATCTAGGATTAATGGAGCTCACTATTCTATGAATTAACACATTCCGTTAGGACAAAGTCAAGTTCAAAAACCATTTTCTACTAGGAACTAATAAAATTGGCAGCCTTTTTAAAACACTGACTCTAAGTTTAAAAAAACAGCATGTGCCTCAGTTAAATCGTAACTCGCAAAAATGAGGCCACGCTGGGTAATTCCAAGACTAGCCTGGACTGCAGGAAGTCTAGCTGGTGAACTTTACAGAAGCATCACTTACTCCTGAAAAAAATGCTTGTTCCACTGTTACCCCTGTTACCCCTGTTACCACCCGGAGCTTTGGCTGGAGCTTGGGCTAAGGTCTTTCTTAGACTTTCATCACTTTATCTCACTGCATCACATCTAATGTCTTGGCCAAATATGTACTGTGTCTTTAAAAGCACCCTAGAAATAAACTTACAAAAACCTTTTTTTTTTTATTCACATCTCATTTTTAAAGCATCTGAAGATTGGAGCTTCTGAAATTCGAGCATACCCTCAACTCCTGCTGGGGACCTTTTGTAAGGTCATTACTTGCATTAGAAAAACCTACTGTTTGAGCACATAAGATTTAATAAATATTTCATTCCACTGTCCCACAGAGCTTAGGAGAAACAGAATCGATCAGTGTTCAACTGTTTATATGTATCTTGCTGTTTGAGTTACTTGCAAATTGCTTTGAGTCAATAAATGACCTTGGAAAAAATTTAGCCACTGGTAGAAGTTACTTAGTGGTTTTACATAGAGTTTCCCATAGTACTGGGTATTCCCCCCTGCTCTAGGCCCTTTTTCACAAACTGATTTTTCACTCGTGGGCAAACATTATCTGGAAAAATAATGTTTTAAATACCAGATCTATCCATTAAAAGCTACCACGTGTTAGTCATGCCCAGTTGAACAAAACTTGCCCAGCCTGGTTTTGCCTCTGTAGACATAGTTCATAACTAATTTTTACAAAGCAAGTTCTGAAGAACACCAAGCCCAAGCCCATATAATGCTCATTGAATACAAGAGAAATAAATGTGAGAAGTACTAAGTTTTAGTCCTTACTTGGAGATTCACCATGCATACTACAGGCTTTTCCCAAATGTATTCCATCATGGAATGCTTTTATAGTAACATTGATTAATAGGTTTTGGAACTAATGACTATTGGTTTAGAAGAAGAAACAGAAAAGGCATATTCTACTGTATTTTATTATGCTCCCACACTGAGATGGGTACACTTACAAAAATTTTGTAGACCAGGATTGAAAGTCCCTGTATTATTCTCTTTATATAGGTAAATCGTCTGCCTCTGGCCAGTTTACACCTGGGTTTAGAATGAGCTCACATGTCATTAGAAACCCAGGTGAGACCAAAGAGACCTGTTTTTCAAACCTTCCTCCTTAAGAAAGAGTTGGGTGGGCTGCCACATGACGTCATTCCCTCTTTCAAACCTCTTTGGAGAATGAGAACGAGCATCTGCCACTATTTTACTTTAGTCATGCTTTGAATTCAAGAAAAACTGATTTCAGTTGTTGATTTTGTGCAAATAAATACAGGCTACCCAAATGAGAAAACTCAAAGGTTACTTATTCAGCACTTACCAAAGTGTCAGCCATTAGTACTTGTGTTTGGCCAACTCAAAGGCACGCAGGGAAGTGAGAAACTTTTATCATTTAAAAAAAGAGAGGCTCCATGTTTCTACGTCTCTGAATTTATTTTGTTCATCAGTTTATTTTGTTCTTTAGATTCCACATGAGTGAGATCGTGTGATACTTGTCTTTCTCTATTTTGCTTAGCATAATACTCTCCAGGTCCCTCACTATGAAATCTCAGAGGAAAGGCATGGGTGGGTGGGTGGAAAGAGATCAAGCAAAGAACTTATATGCATATATGCATGACCCATGGACACAGACAATAGTGCAGTGAAAGCCTGGGGTGGGGCAGAAGTGGGCTAGAAAGGGGTCAATGGGGAACAAAGAGGGCATCTATAATACTTTCCAATAAAAATAAATGTTTAAAAAAGGGGGGGGGGGGCTCAAAGTATCCTATGATTAAAGTTCTTGGCATGAGGAAAGGACACTTGGGCTGAGTAGAAGTGGGACTTCTTAGGCGACTAGCTTGGGGACATACTTTGCTTTTCCTGGTTGGGGCTAGCATATGGAACCTAGCAGTCACTGACCATGCTGAGCTAACTGTTGCAGAGGTTGTGGTTTGGTTGCCTGGGCTGGTTGCTGCATAGGTTTTAAGTCAGAATTCTATTGTTATATATGGCCTAGCCATTGTCCATTTGTGTATTGTTTCTCAGTTTATAATATGGGCTTTGATGCTTTAAAAATATCAACCTAATTAAACCAATGACCCTTGAAAATGTCCAGAGTGATTGCTATGCCTGCTCTTGGCTACTTCTGGACAATGGCAGTAATTATGAATTCTATTTGTATGCAAAAGCTCACCTAGAACAATACACAGTGAAGTAAAAGCACAGGTTTTATTATTTCTGTGTGATCCGGTTAGATGTTTTGCTTTTCTGTTTCATGGCACCTATTGCCGCTATACCCAATGGCAGGTTTATAAGGTCTGTTTGGAATTTCAAAATTGGGAACATGGCAAAACAAAGAGGCCTATTGACATAGCTAGCCCCTTCAAAGGGAGCTGCTTACCTCTCTGCAGATCAATGATCTCTTTTGCTTTGTTTTCTCTTTTTTTTAAATATATATTTTATTGATTTTTTTTTACAGGGAGGAAGGGAGAGGGATAGAGAGTTAGAAACATCCATGAGAGAGAAACATCCATCAGCTGCCTCCTGCACACCCCCTACTGGGGATGTGCCCACAACCAAGGTACATGCCCTTGACCGGAATCGAACCTGGGACCCTTCAGTCTGCAGGCCGATGCTCTATCCACTGAGCCAAACCGGCTAGGGCTCCCTTTGTTTTCTTATATATCTGTTAATGCCTTTGAATTTATCTAAGGGTGGTAATACATATACCCCAAATATCAACCCAAAAATCTGGTATGAAATGACAACTTAGCTTCTACAATTCAGTAAAAAGGCAATTCTGCCCTCCCCATTTCTCTTCAGTAAAAATCCATAAGAATGACCCTAAAATCATAAATGAATGAAAATGAACTGAAAAGAGGTATAAAACAGGAAATCAGAAAAGTATCAAGTCATGGGCCATTTTAATGTGTTTAAGAGATTTGGTTTTAATAAATATTTAACCTTTTTGTTTTCCGTTCTGGTTATAGTTGAAATGAATAGTCAGGTTGACAGTGGAAATGACCCAACAGAGAGTCAGCAAGAAGATTAACTAATAGGTAAGTTGTCCTTGTGGTGGGATTTTTCATTGGTTAAACTGGTCTGAGGAACTATTTGTAAATGGCATACTGGATTTCCCTCGACTCTACCAAGTCCCACAGCATGGATCAGGCTAAACTTTAAAAATCTTTATACCAAATAACACAGCGTAAGGAGCAAAGATTACCATAGAAGCCTGCCATCTTTCAGAGAAAAAGAAAAGCCACAGCATATTCAAATCATGCATTACTCTGGTTTTCTGAGCTTTGACAACAAGGGAAAAAAACGGTTTTCCATTCATCTCACCTCCTGGCCTCCTGGAGTGATTAAATTATTTCAGCAGCCCCTAGCTGATTCTGAAGTATTGCTTTTCCAGAATTTACCTGCTGAGTTGTTTTAGTAGATCTTTTTTTAAGCATAACAACTAAAGCTTTGCCCTGGGGAATGTGTAAAGCCCCTTGAGTATGTTGGCAGAAAGAAACCTGTCTCATATCCTAACCTCTCGCACAACTACCTGTGGACCTGTATGTCTGCACAAAGGTTTGTTGAGTTGAATGAGCCTCAGGGAACTCCCAAAGCAAATAAAAGTCTGGGCCAGGCCACACTTAGGAGTTTTTCCAGACCAACACACTAAATCTCTCAGCAGAGAATGAAGTATATCTAGAATGATGAGTGGTCTATAAGTCTTTTCCATATCTTGAAAGCTGGTGAGAAAAATTAGAGGAAATAAGTCAGGCTTGCTATTCCAATTCCTAACTTAAAATAGTTAGCTATTAAAAAAAAAAAAAACCCTATGGAATAAATGAATTGTGGGTTGTCTAGTGTAAGACACAAATGTGTTGACACTGTTGCCTCCAGCACCACCCTGCACTCCCTGTATCTTCTCAGGAGGTCTCTGCACCCCAAGGAGGCCCTGCGGCACCAGAGCCTTGAGTCCCAGCATGACAGCAGAACAATGTTTGAAAACGTGTGAAAATACACACGCATCTGTCCTTCCCATCATGATCTTGAACATCATTTAAAACTAGATATAACAGAATTTGCATAATGCATGTATAGCATAGGACTGCTAAAAAATTATAAACACACACAAATATGGTCTTGAAACATGTCTCCTTTTTTTACTGATAACCTCATTCATATGTTTTAAATATACTGCTAAGCTGCAAAAATGATATGGTAGAGAAGTGCCATTGAAAAGTAATGAAGTGAGACTAAACCTGAACATTATAAATGCAAGTTCTTCAGTGTCGCTTTACCTTTTGCCCTTTAGTTGGCAACAACTATAAACTTCTTGTCTGGATTTTTTTTTTCTTATAGACACTATTATTTTCCAGTGTGCTCAATTTCCAGATATTGTACCAGGGCAAATCTGTTTTCTGTGATCACCGTCAAAATATTTTCCTTGACAATAAACACCAATTTATACCTTTACCCAAATGAGTGAGTTGTCAAAACTTAAAGTTCAATATTAGTTTAAGGAAACTCAATTCCAGGAAGAGAAGGGGCTCACACAGGGTCACTTGGCTGGTCAATGGAAGTTTAGATACTCCAAGTACAAATTCTTTGATATCACCATATTATTCCTCAAACAATAGTAGGTGTTTTTTAACACAGGTGTCACAGAGAACAGTATGACCTGAGGAATTTCACTGATTCCTACAGAAATATTTAGGCAGTTAGGTTTGTAAACGTTATCTGGTAGTTCAACAGGAAGAAAGAACTTAACCTTTAGTTCTATGTATCATACCTGTAAGGAAATTAAAGAACTTACAGTGAAACTGAATTAGAATTAGAAAGATCAAAGACATAATGCAAAAATGTTTCATGTTGTGTAATTTATAATTGTGAAAAATCAGGGATATCAAAAATAACAATAAGGGAACAGATTAATGGAGAAATAGAACATTCTGCAAATGTAAAAAGAATTTTAATAAGTATTTGAGGGCATGTAAAGATGGTTATGGAACTACAGAAATTTGGAGAAATATGGCAGGTGGAGGGGGTTGTAGCTTCCAGTTTGGGTATCAAGAGGCCTTGTAGCTTCCATTTTTGTTCACTCAGAATACCCACTCCTGGAATCCAGCCACCTTATGTGAAGCTCAGGCACATCTATAGAATGACAAAGGCCACATGGAAAGAAAGTCAGAGACCTTCTGTGATGTTCTGGTGCTAGTAGAGACCACCTGGAGCAAAAAAAACCTGCCCAGTTGATGCCAGACCAAATTATAGAATCATGAGAAATAATAAATAGCTGATATTCATAGCCACTAAGTTTTGGAATTGTTTGTAATGTTGCAATAGGTAACTGAAGCAATGGAAGTAATACAGAACTCCTCTCAACACAAATACTTATAAATGAGAGATAAACTATAACAAAAATATTTTAAAGTACAAAGCTCAATGGACATAAAAGCAAAAGGCACCAGGAGTAATGAGGAAAATGAAAGCCAAAACAATAATCTGATGAGCTGGAGATGCAGCAACCCTAAGGGCTACAGATCGTTGTTGATGCAGAAATAGGCCCTATGGCTAGGGTTTGGGTTCTAATGCCCATCTGGGACCTTGAGCTACTCAGGGTAAGAAGCCGGAACTGATACCTCTACATGTATAAATCTGGGACTCTCAGCTCAAGAAATTAACAAGGAGACGTGGGTCTGCCCAGGGTGCAGTGTGGAGAAAGAAGAAGACTCCCATCATAAGTAGAAAACATAAATGCACCATGACATTGCAACAAATTCATGCCATCCAAAGTCATATAGTAATATACAAACAAAAATTAATTTATATAGTTGATTATAGGTAGCAAATGGAAATATCACTTGGAAATGTCACAGAAGAAAAAATATCTGAAGATGAGTTCACAATATTTTTGTTTGAATTTGTTAATCCTCAGCCAAGGATATTTATTCCATTGATTTTTAGAGAAAGAGGTAGGGAGGGAGGGAGGGAGAGACGGAGGGAGGGAGGGGAATAGGAAGAGAGAGAAACATCGATGTGAGAGAGTCATATACATTGGTTGCGTCCCACCCACATCATAGCAGGGCCAGGGATGGAACATTCAACCCAGATATGTGCCCTTGACTGGGAATTCAAACCTGTGACCCTTCAGTCCACAGGCCAATACTCTAACCCAGGGGTGGGCAAACTTTTTGACTCGAGGGCCACAATGGGTCCTTAAACTGGACCAGAGGGCCAGAACAAAAGCATGGATGGAGTGTTTGTGTGAACTAATATAAATTCAAAGTAAACATCATTACATAAAAGGGTACGGTCTTTTTTTTCAATAGTTTTATTCATTTCAAACGGTCCGGATCCGGCCCGCAGGCCGCAGTTTCCCAACGGCTGCTCTAACCACTGAGCAACCAGCCAGGGCAAGTTCACAATTTTAAGACATAAAACACACGAGGAAGTGATCCATCAAAAATGAGAGTTGGTCGGTGGGTAAAATTACAGGATAATTAGTACCATAAGAACTTGAGAGAGTAGAAAATTTTGAAGACTTTATAAAGTAAATATACATAAAAATGACAAAAAGATGAAAAGCAGATATAAAATAAGAGCAACACTATGAAAAATTAACAGTAATTTGGAAAAAGGGAATAAAAGTGTAGTAATATAAAAGACACATGAAGAGATGTGAAGGATAAGACATAACCAAGATGTTTTGTGTTCAATAGCCATTTTAAAAGGAGATAGATTAACAATATCTGAAAGATAATGACAGAATTTATTAGAGTTGATAATAGTCATGAATTTTAAACTAAAGGAAGAACAATAAATCGCAAGAAAGATGTATATTTAAAATAAATCCACATGCAGGCACTACAAATCCACCAAAGAGAAGAAATTAAAGCAATTTGAGAGACAAGGAGCTAACCTAGAAAGTCAGGACTGTGTGAATAGTAGGCTTCCCAACAAACATTTAGGTCAGAAGACAGTGGACTAGTTGTGAGTTTTCAAAACTTGGATACAAATAATTGCCAATAGAGAGTTCTAGACTAGTTGCCCTATCACTTAAGAAAATGGTATTTGCCATTTTTCAGGTAAAAAAAAAATTGCCTCTCAGATTCTTTAAAAGCTCCTACATATACAACAGGAAGAAGAAAATTGAGCCCAGAGGAAAGAGTAGGATGCAGGAAACAATTGTGAGCTAAGAAAAATTGTAAGCACAAAGGCAAGTCAAAATAAATATTGACTATAGATTTATAATAGTAATTGGTGTGTGGTTAAAAACAGGGCAAAACAAAACTACTATTTATATACATTTTATAATATACAAAGTAATGCTATATACTTTTTATTATATGTGTGCATGTTATAAATATATGTACTTAAAAGTATAAAACTGCCGAAACCGGTTTGGCTCAGTGGATAGAGCGTCGGCCTCCGGACTGAAAGGTCCCAGGTTTGATTCCGGTCAAGGGCATGTACCTGGGTTGCAGGCACATCCCAGTAGGAGATGTGTAGGAGGCAGCTGATCGATGTTTCTCTCTCATCGATGTTTCTAACTCTCTATCTCTCTCCCTTCCTCTCTGTAAAAAATCAATAAAATATTAAAAAAAAAAACTTAAAAAAAATAAAATAAAAGTATAAAACTATGTAAATTATTGAGTCACACCAATATTAAGATTTGGTCATCTCTGTGAAGGAAGAGAAATAGTTTTTCTTTATCTGTAAGTTAAATTAATTTATCTGTAATGTTTTCTTTCTTAAAGTAAAATGAAAATTAAAAAATATTATTAGGGAATTTGAAAAATATTAACACATTAAATCCGGATAGTAGATCTATTCTAAATATGTTATACTATTGTCTGTAATTTTCTTCATGTTTATAATTTTCATTGTTAAAATTATGGTATATATGTAGGAAAGATATAGAAAAATCCTGTAAGGCAGTGGTTCTCAACCTTCCTAATGCCACGACCCTTTAATACAGTTCCTCATGTTGTGGTGACCCCCAATTTCATTGTTACAAATTGAACATAATTAAAGCATAGTGATTAATTACAAAAACAATATGTAATTATATATGTGTTTTCCGATGGTCTTAAGCAACCCCTGTGAAAGGGCCGTTCAACCCCAAAGGGGTCGCGACCCACAGGTTGAGAACCACTGCTATAAGGAAATACTTAATATGCTTTTTTAAAACACCATAATATTAACTACAGAAGTTATTGCTAATGCGAAGATTATGCAGGATTCTTTCTTTCCTTATCTACTTATGGGTATTTTTAAAATTGTCTAAAATATTGCTTTTACATACACCTACAAACCTCAAAGGTATTTTTTTCCCAAAAGGACTCATATGATATCAGAGTAGAAAGTTAGCCTTGAGGACATCTGCTCTAATTCTTCCTTGGAGAAATGTGGAAATTTATGGTGACAGAAATCAGATCAATCATTGATTTCAGCAGGAGTGGGGTTAATGATTGGAAAGGGAGCTTTCTGGGATGATGGCTATGCTTTACATCTTGATAGTGGTGTAAATTAAATTTACGCATTTTTTCAGAACAGACTGAAGTAGCTTTAAGACCTGTGCATTTCCCTCTATGTGGATTTATATCTTGTTTTTAAAAATATAAAGTCTATAGGCTCTTGTAAGGCATGGGTATTTTCTTAGAGTCCTCTCAGGTGGAGAACACAGCAGAGACTTAATAAGATCTCAAAATGTGGACTAACCATCAACAACTTTTGCAAATCAACATTATATAAATTGTATATAATTTGTGATTATTATGATTTCTCTGTTGAGCTCTGGATACTAGAATGTATGAATGGTCCCAAAAAGGGAGGGCACATCCAGTCAAGGTGAGGCTTTTAAAAGAATACTTTGAAGAGTTGGGTTAATCATCCCCATCAGCCGAAGCAAGTTGTCAGTGTGGCATACATTTATTAAACAGTGATTAAGATGCTTCTTAAAAATACCATGTGCCAACAATTACAGCTTAGATAGCCAAAGTCCTCTGATAGTCAAATAAAACATTCCTAGGCCTGCTTGAGGGGTGAGAAACATTTAAATGGCTGTATAGTGGTTCTACTTATCTAGAGTTTTGCTTTTCATGGTTTCAGTTATTTGCTGTTGATTGCAGTCTGAAAATATTAAATGGAAATTCCATATATTTTGAGGGAGACCACATCCCTGTAATTTTATTAAAGTATATTGTTATAATTATTCTATTTCAATATTAGTAATTCTGGTTATTCTCTTACTATGTCTAGTTCTTAAATTAAATATTATCATCGGTATGCATGTACAGAGAAAAACATAGAATATATAGGGTTGGGTATTATCTGAGGTTTCAGGCCTCCACTGGGAGTCTTTGAACGTGTCCCTCCACTTAGATAAGGGGCAACAATTGTATTAAAATGATATTCCTGCCATTGCCGGGTGGCTCAGTTGGTTGACGCGTCCTGGCATGCATCAAAAGGCTGCAGGTTCAATTCCTGGTCAGGGCACATACCTGGGTTGCAGTTCAATCCCCATTCGGGATGAGTATGGGAAGCAACTGGTCAATATTTCTCTCTCACATCAATATTTCTCTTTCTCCCCCCCACCCCCGGCCCCGTTCCTCTCTCTAAAATCAATAAAAACACATATCCTCAGTTGAGGATTTTTTTTTAAAAAAGGTATTCCTTGCTAAGCTTATAAAGATGGTTTATCTTTAATCTAAGAGCTGGTTTCTCCTTGTCTTTGGCAGGGGCACAAGATGAAGCAAAGGAACAAAGAAATGGAAGTAGATGCCAGTCCTCAGCATTCCAGCCTCTGCTGGCCCTGGGGGAAGAGTGGGAGCCAGCAGGGGTGCTGTGGAGGAGGGTGGGGGTGGGGGAGGCAAGTCCCACGCAAGGATGGGGAATCCTTTGCTCTAATTTCTCAGCTGCATTTTGTTCTTTTTACTTGCAGAAAAAGAAAAAAAAAAAAAAAACTTTCTTTAACTTGGTGGGGCGACCCACATTAACGCATCTTTCAGGCTCTGTTCCTGCAATTTCTGTCTTTTTTCTCACAATTGCGCCCCAGCGTCATGGTTTAGCACTCACGTGTGTATCCTGGCCCTGTCTGCTTTCTCGGTTATTTCACAAAGCTGGTTGGACAGTAGTTTCTTCAAAGGAAGGAGGAAGACCATTGTTTTGATAAGCTGCAGGCTAAATTTCAGGAATCGCCAAGCCCAATATCAGTATAATCCACAGGCAAAGGAGGCAGGAGAGGAAATGGGCAAAAACCCTCAGAAATCACTTGGGAAAAGGTCAGGATGGTGACTTGAAAATGATACCTTCTTCAGGGATTCCCACAGCACGGGTTACAGCTTTGTTTAACATGCAGTTAGAGAGGAATATGCCCGCAGGGCTTCATCCAGAGCCGAGCACAGAGATGTACAGGAGGGCAAGCCCTGACAGCTTTCATGCCTCTCCTTCCATGGGTAGGACAGCAGGAATGTTCTTATTTGACACTGACGTTTAGCAGAGCTTTCTGGGTTTGTGAGGTCTTTACCGAGTGCGGCAATGTGGAGCCCCCCAGTGGGCTGTGAGTCAGTGTGACACCATCCTGAGGGATGACACTTTTCTAGGTGTTTTAGTTAAGAGAGGGGGGCTGCTGCATTTAGGATCCAAACATATGCCTGTGATATTAAAAGCTCCACTTGGAATCTCTCTTCATATACATGCTTTTCATAAAAATAAAACATGTTATCTTTACCCAAGGTCTGATGGCCTGCAGAGCAGATTCTCACTTGAAATTAGAGGCAGTGAGAGGTCTTGCTTGCAATTTTGGCTTCCAGTTCCCTTTAAATAGTGTGGCTTGCCCACGCCAAGTCCAAGACTAATGTGATAGCTGGCCCCCTCTCTCAGCAGATTATGACCATTAAAGGGGGGAGCAGCTGTAGTTAAGATCCAAGAGGCCAGAAGTACAGTCAGCACAGGGGTGAAGGACCCAGGAAAAGGTCAGACGTCACAAATGTCTGTCCAAGAGCCAACATGAACAAGGGCCCTCGTGGGGCAAGATGACTGCTTCCCACAGCCTCCTTGGGTCCCAAGACCATCCCCCTCCACCCCCCACTGTGGAAACTGTTATCATTTCTTGCATAGCTTCTTAAATCCATCTTTCTTATAAGAGCTTTAGAATTGTAAGTTATTTATATACATTTTTCTTAGTACAGGGATAAAAGTAATGGATCAAATCGAGTATTTCTAAAATAAAAGGATGTTTTGCTTTTTAAATATTCCATGAAATTCTTCAGTTTTGCCCTTTCCTCTATGGAAATTCAACTCCTTATCTTTCAGTGAAAGCTGTGTTGGCCTCTCTGAATTTGCTGCCCTTATGCATAGTTTACTTGGTATACTGAAATCAAGTGTGAGTTACAGTTCTGCATATGTAATATGATTTTTAACAGTCCATATTTTAAAAACAATCTCATCAACCTAGCAGCCATGCTTCTTTTAAGTCAGTGGTTCTCAACCTTGTGGCCCTTTAAATACAGTTCCTCATGTTGTGAACCAACCATAAAATTATTTTCGTTGCTACTTCATAACTGTAATGTTGTCATTGTTATGAATCGTAATGTAAATATCTGATATGCAGGATGGCCTTAGGCGACCCCTGTGAAAGGGTCGTTCGACCGCCAAAGGGATCGCAACCCACAGGTTGAGAACCGCTGTTTTAAGTGCCCTCATGATTTTGGAACTTGGCCATGTCTCCGGCCATTTATTCTACAGCCTTCCACTGCCATTAGACATCACTTTCTAGGGGGAAAAAAAAGAAGACTCATTTTAAATAATTCAAGAAACGACACCATATTAATACTTTTTTTTCATATTTTATGTCATCTTTATAACTTTTTAAAATACGTTTTTATCGATTTCAGAGAGGAAGGGAGAGGGAGAGAGAGAGAGAGAGAGAGAGAAACATCAATGATGAGAGAGAATCACTGATTGGTTGCCTTCTGCAGATCCTACACTGGGATCAAGCCTGCAACCCAGACATAAGCCCTGACTGGTTCATAGGCCGATGCTCAACCACAGAATCACACCTGCTGGGCTGATCTTTATAAGTTAATTGAAAGTCACTGTCTCTTCTGAAGTAGTTGACAAGTGCAACCTGGTGGGAGCACACATTCCAGAGAAGAGAGGAAACAGAAGAAAGAGACCTAATATACCTGCTAGGAACATTGGGATTGGCATTATTTCAGTCCTGGTGTCTCCTCATCACCCAGGACAGTCATTTATTCGTTTATTTTCAATGTGCGGGAGGCCGGGAAGGCATTCTCTGCCTGAACACTATCGAGGAAGGAAAGTCCGTGTTGTGGCCAGGAAAGTAAGAGGGGGAGGAGTGACTGTCCTCGGCCCAGCTCTCAAAGTTGTTTAACCTTCATCTGATGATTGAATTGTGCTTTCATTTTTGTTTTCTTATGCTGTTTGATTGCTATTGGGCTGTAAGATTTTATGCTTTAAAATAAATGATGAAGTGAATTTCCATTTTAATAGTAAAATATTAAACATCTAGCCATGAGCCAGATCGAAGACAACTGAACAGAAGACATCTTCATTTCACTGGCACTGTCGTTGCACAGCTACACGATGGAAAGCTGGAAAAGCCGATTGGCTCTCCTACACGTGAATTCTGGATGTCAGTTTCCAGCCACACTGCAGCCCAGAGATGTGGCATGAGGGGCTACAGGATAAGGGTGGGAAACAGCCCCATATTAGTCATGTTTGCACACAGAGAACGAAGTAGGCCTTCCATGGAACAGTTCTAATTAAAAAGGTACTGACTGTAGGAGAGACAAAGGGGCTTGTCCTCTGGCTGGTTAACTATTCAGATGATGGACAATCCTTCTTTCATAGAAACATACAAAGGAGGCATCCGGAACACTGTCTATGATACTGGGTCACATATTAGTCACCGCAGCTAATTGTAAATCTTTCTGTGAAACACTGAAAAGCCTCTTTGTGAATTAATTCAGTTCTGCTTGATGCACTTGATTTGAAATGACATTCCCCTGTATGTGGTGCATGTCGGCTTTGCTTTGAAAAATAACAAAGTTAGCAGAATGTTTAATATATTTTCTTGGGGAGTAGGGTTTTTATCATAGGATTCATTAAGGATTTGCCTTACCCTGACATTTGTGATATAAAGGAAAATCAGAAAAAAAAGTAATTTTCTTGATCAAGATATGTTTTTACTTAATGCAAATAAATGTAGTCTGTGGCTTGCAAGGAAAAATATGTCTTCTGATATCTGGTATAAACTGCTAAGTAGAATAATACGTGCCTCTTATGTTAAACCAGCATTTAAATGCTGAACTGCTTCTAAATCTGTTTCTTTTCATCTTTGCCATACACTAAGAACCTAAACAACTGTTGCCTTCATACTATATTTGTTAGAGCAGAATACAAATAAAATTTGTTTGAGAGGATAAGGTGGAATTATCTGTGGTTTGTGCAATTTGTTCCTTAGTCATGAGCAATTAACTCAAAATGAACATTAAATACTTTAATTTTGGTTGCAAATATGTATTTAATACTGCCCTGTTAAATCAACTTTAATTTACCAACATTCTTCCCTTTCTAATACTGGTTAATGCTCTAACCATGTTTTTCAACTATAAACTATAAGCAAATCCCATTGTGTAACTTTCCTCTCAACACTAGATAGCTAGTCACACTAGCCTTTGAGATGCAAGATACAAGTCATTAAGATTAAACCCAATGGTTCCATGAACGTCAGTACATCCTTCAGAACCCATCATTCATTATTATTTTTATGTATATTTTATTGTTGACCATATTACACATGTACCCTATTTCCCCCATTTTGTCCCCCTCTATCTAGCCCCTGCCTTCAACACACTACTGTCTGTGTCCCTGGGCTACCAGGCCAGGTGTCTGAGTCCCCCATGCTGCCAGGCCCAGCATCACAGGCGCAGATTTCCAGCCCAGAGCCATTCAGGAAGGGGCTCCTCCCCCATGCTTGAGTTGAGGAGGATCGACCCTTTCCCCTGGGGCACTATGCCTGGCCGGGTCCTGCTCTCTGCCAAAAGTTCTTTCCGAGAATAAACAGCCCCTCAGACTCACTGCTGGGTGAACTGGTCAGACCCCTCCACTGGCCCCATGTTCCACTGCTTGGCCCTTCCACCGACAAAGACTGGGGCAAACTTCCCAGCAGCTGCTGTAACAAAGCACTTGCTCTGGGCCTGGGACAGTGTGGGCTGAACTGCCCGCCCAGCTGGACCCAATCACCACTAATTCCCCTTGCCCAATGCTGCATGGGCTGTGGATTGGGGATCTGGACTGGGGATCCCTGCCTGGGGCTGAGGCCCCCCCCCTCGCTCCCAGGGAACAGGGGCTGCGCACCTTCCTTCCAGCTCTCCAGCTGCGCAGCTGCAGATTTCACTTACTCTCTACGCATTTCTCTGTCCCCTCTCTGCACCCCCCGCTCACGATATTTCAGATCAGCTATTTTTCAAATGGTTTTTCGGACCAAATGTTCTTCAGTTTAGCTGCACGTCCAGACCAGTGCGAGGAGCAAGTGGACAAAACTTCCCAAGTCCGAGCCATCCTGGACCCCGCCCCATCACTCATCATTGGGGTTCTCTTTGAGCACCTTTTATGAGCTGGTCCCAGTGCTGGCTATGTGATCACCCAGGCATGATCTCCCCCAGTCTATTGTTGATAGAATTATGATTGAATTACATAATTGTTAAGAGTATGGCAATTAATCAACAAGAACCACTATGTGAAAAACTCAATGTTCCTTTGAAAATGGAAATCTGTGTTCCATCAAATTTAATCCCCTCCATTTCCTATAGAAGAGGTGCTATCTGGTTTGTTGTTCTAGAAAGCAATAAAGAAAGTCAACCCCTTTATCCATGAAAGTCAGAAATGTAATAGTTAAAGGAAAATATGGCTTTTAAAACTGTTGTACCAGAGGAGCATTTTCCAGTAGTAAACAGTTCGGTGAGAAAAAAAAAAAATTCTAGGAAGTACAGTCGTATGCTGCAGGGAGCAACCTCAACACAAATGCTTCAGAGTGACAGTAAGAGAATGTGACATGATTCAAGCATGGCCAGATAGAGTTTTTAATCTGCAGCCAGTTTTTCATCTCTTTGCCTGTCATTCTTATGTTTCTAGCCAATACTTCTACCTCTTTGCCTCACTTCAACCAAAGGTACTGTTAAATGTTGCTTAACTTTAGTGGTGGTTCTCAGGCCAAAAGAGATAACAATAAGTGTTTATAATGGTCTTGCCCAGTTGTGGGGCTTTGAGAAACAAACCTCCACCTCTTGGTTTGGAAGATGGAAAAACTGATGCATTCCTGTGCTCGCCTACAAATTTAAACATGAATAAAGTACCAAGACGTTATACTTCGCCATTTCGAAAAGCACTTGCTAAATTATTGCCATTAGATTCTGCTATTTGACACTTACAGGCAAATGGCCCCTCTTGAGCTCAAGACGCTTAACCGAAAGAATAAACAACCCTTACAGTTGGGCAGTAAATATGAAATCCTTTTTACTGATTTAAATTTTGCCTCTGAATTAAGGACCCATGAGAATCAGAGAAAGTTGTTTTATAAAACCTAAACAAGTGGAATATTTGAGCTCTTAAAATTCATATCACAAAATACTGATACACTGTAAATCACTTTAAGTAATCATTTCTCTGTTTACAACTACAGTGAATCTAGGAGTGCAGAAGAAAAGAGGAGTATACCTCCTCACCCCACTGAAATTGGACTCGACAGTGTAATTTGCTTTGGCCCATGATATGCAGGCAGAAATGGCATATGTCATGTCAGACAGAAGCTTGAGGACTCATGCTTTCTTCTTCCCTCTATCACAGTGACCAGCAACACCCTAGAGAGTCTGTTCTGTCAGCACAGAACCTGGCGAGAAGACCTGTACGGCCTGCCTCTCCAACCTCATCCTGTGTGACTCTCTGCCTGGCTCACAGTGCTGCCACACACTGACCTTCTGTCCATTCCTAGAACAGGCCAAATGCTTTCCATGCTTTGAACTTGAAAACTTTCCTTCCCATTCTCAATGACTAGAAACTTGTTATTCTTGAGATCCCAGCTAACATGTCACTTCCTGGAGATGACTTTTCCAAGTACCTTGTTTCAAAGTAGATCTCCCTCCCCAACTTGTGTTTGCCTTCCTAATACCATATTTGCTAGTTCAGAACACTCAGAATTTCCATTTTGTAAAATTCTCACTGTCCTTGAGGGTCCTACAACTATTGACACTGTGTCAGTGTGAAAAATGGTTTGTCATTATTTTAACTAACATTTCTTCATTTACTAAGAAGGTTAAGGAGATTTATGTCAGCTATTTGTATTTCCTGATTGGCGAATTAATCTGTTCATGTTATTTTGGTCATCTATCAATTGAGATTTTGATTTTTATTGATATTTATGAATTGTTTATATATTGAGAGTATCTTTTTGTCATATTTTTCTGCACACAATTTTCTACTTGTGCTTTGTTTTATGAATTTGATTGTGGTGTTTTCTGACATACAGATTTCTTTTTATG